CCCCCACCCCAGAGGAAAAAAAAACTCCAAAAAAAAAAAAAAAAAAAAAAAAAAAAAAAAAAAAAGTGACATCAATGCTTTGTTAAGCATTCTTTAAGTTGTTTTTATTTTCTTTAATACTAGAAGTTCTTATTTTTAATTGCCAAAGGGCACCTTTACTTGCCAGAGAGAGACAGGGGTGGGGGGAGGTAAGGAGAAATCATGGTCACGTTTGTAATCACTTCTTCTCCGTTCCTCCATCCTCAGGATTTGGGGCACCCACACACATGCTTAGTATGTTTTTCAAGCCACCAGGGCTGAGATTCAAACTGTGGTTGGCCAGGTGGGATCTGTCTTCCGTAACCACTAGCTATGGGGTCAGCCCAGAAGTTCTTAATTTTAGTATAATCAAAATATATTTGGGACCAGCAGGTGGCATGGTGGTTAAGGCGCTGGACACTCCCACGTGGCTGGCCATGGTTCGAGTCTTGGACCTGGTGGCTTGCTTTCTCATTTCCTCTCTCTCTCTCTCTGTGGGTCTCTCTCTGGTCAAATTAAAATAAATGAATGGATAAATAAAAATAAAATAAATAGTTCTTTTTTAAAAAAATATATGTATTAATCTTACATGATCTATGCCGTTTTATGACAAGTAATCTTTTTCTAACCAAAAGGCTAAAAGATATTCATCTATACTTTATTCAAGATATTTAATGGTTTATTTTTTAACACGTAAGACACTTTCATCCCTCTGGAGTTGATTTTTGTTGAGTGAAGTAAGGATTCCACTTTATCTGTCCTTTCTAATAAAGATTTTTCTTTTTATTATTTTGAATCTCCATTTATTAAACAGTTTTCTTTTTCCCTTTTTTAAATTTTATTTCTTCCATGAGAGATAAATAGGCAAAGTGTTCCTATGCTACAACCCATCCCCCAGCCTCAGCAGACCTGGATCACTGGCACACATGTGTACACCTGGCCTGTAGAGGAAGGCCCCAGGATTTGAACCAGGGATTCCACCATCAGTCCAATTTACTACTGTGATACCATCTCTTCCTTGAGCAGTCTTTGCTTACTCCAGTGGTTGGACTTGCCACTTCTGTCATTTCCAAAGTTTCATAAATGCTTTGGTCTATTGTATGTGTGTGTGTGTATTCATCTCTGAATCTATGTATATATGTGTGTGTGTGTGTGTGTGTATAAAATCTCCAGATTTTAAGTACTTTGGTTTTTCCACCAGGTTTTGGACATAGTAAAAACAAGTATTCGTACTGTTCTTCCACGCATCTGGAAGGTACCTGATGTTGAGGAGATAAACTTATATCGAATTTTCAACCGGGTTTTTAATCGCTTACTCTGGAGTCATGGCCAAGGATTGTGGAATTGTTTCTGTGATTCAGGGTAAGTTTTTGGTCATCTTTTATCATTGTAGTTTTTTTAAATATTTTACTATCTAGCTACAGAGGTAGCTCAATAAAGTGGTTGAATTTCTTTGATGATCTTTTAAAATATGGATTTTTCTACTGTATGTAATATTTAGTACTCAGCTATGATTTCCATCATTTAAGCCAATTCAGATGAGCTGCTTAGTATGAACACATCAGCGCCTAACTAATTTAGTTCAGTTGAAAGAATGTTGTTTCAATTAAAAAAAAAATCTCAATTACAAGTCAATATCCTTAAAGTTCTTTCATTGTTACCTTCATGTAGCAGACATCTAAAGTTATGGCAATCCTCCTGCTCCTTTCCAGAATTCTGGGGCTGCTGCAGCTGCTGTTACTGACTGCCAGTGTAGTCTCAAGATACCTCAAACTAAACATTCCTTACCCTTTTACTTGGAAATCGCGTTCCTTCTTGTGTTCCTTTAGTCCTGTTATTATTTGTGTAATCATACAAGTTTGATATTTCAGAGGTGTCTGCATTTTCCTTTTCCCTTACTGTCTTTATTCAATCATTTGCTAAATTCTTTTAGTTCTTCTGCTTCATTCCCATCGTGATTACTCTACATTTTTTCTTTTTCATTCTTTCAGCAATTACCTAGTACTCACTACTATGTTGGGTACTCCAAAAAAAATTTGGAGATAGGACGTCCAATATGACACTGATCCTGCCCTCTGGAAATTTAGCAATGATAACAGCTCGCTCTACTATTTACTGTGTACAGGCATGTTCTAATCACTTTACATGTGTGTCAAGTGAGTTTATCCTCATAACATTAGTTTTAGTCAGGTTCTACATTATTTCCATTTATAGATAAACTGAAGCAGTTTCTTAGGACCTCGTGGAACTGGGATTTTAAACTCAGACTTGACCCCAGAATTCGTGCCTTAACCAATCAGCTCATATGTCTCTAGTTGACAAAATATAATATGTACTAATCATCATAAAAGAGACACAGATAAAATATTACAGGATTCCAGGTACGAGGAGCCTTCTTGGAAGAGATAAGTGAAAATAATACATTTGGGGGCATATTTGCCACCAGTATTTTGTTTCACTTATCCATCTTACTATCAGTGTCATTTCCTAAAATTTATAGTGATTACACTCGTTTATCATTGAAGTCTAAGCTTCTTATATACAGATACAAGGTGCTCTAGTTATGGTGATTCTGTCTTATTTCTCCAGTCTTCTATCTCATTACTCTCCTATTTGAAGTCTGCTCCAGAAAAATAAACTCACCATTTTTCAAATATCTCAAAAATGTGTCCTTTTCTTCCTCTGAACCATTGGTGTCATTGAATGTTTGATTGGACTGCTTTCTACAACCCCATCCCTCTAGGTCCCTCTGTATTATTTGAATCGTATGTAAAGACCTAGACTATATACCTATCTCTTTTATAAAGCCTTAACAGATTTTTCTACTCTGTAATGATCTTTGGATATCCTCCATTTAGATATTCTGTCCATCTGATACTGAATCATTCATATCATTTGCAGTCTCATTCTCACATCAGGTGTTTCTCCAGATGCCGTTCACCAGCAGAGAAAATTTATAAGGCACTCTGAAGTTTGATGAAATCTGAGAGCAGTCCTGGCTGTAAATTAACTGTACAGAGACCTATGTGAGACATTTGAACTGCACTGCACAGCCCTTTGTTGATGAGTCTTTTAAAGCTCTCCTAATCTGAGCTCCTAACTGCAGCTATTTTTTTTTCCTGTTTGTTGATCTATTGGTTTGATTTTATGTATGAATTCCAGCTACTGTCCACCGTGGGAAGCCATGAGACAGTTTGTTACTGAAATCAGGGCTAGTGGCTCTGAGTTCATGGATAATCGCCAATGAGAGGCCTTGAAGATGCCCAGGGAGTGGTACTTTTTTTGTTCCTAGGATTCTTCTTTCCCGAACTCTTTTTCTAATATACTCTAATTTGATTCAAAATCCTTTTTTTCCTGTCTGGGACACTATACTCACTTATGATTTCCCTGGTTGTATCTATTATAACTAGTAATACATGTGATAGTAAATAGCATTTATTGAAGGCTTACTAGTTATCTCATAGTGTTTTACACATTAAATATTTATTTAATCTCCACAAAAGTATTTTGAGTAAACTACTATTATCCTCCTTTAACAGATGAGAAAATAGAAATAAAAGCAGTGTATAACTTACCCATATTCCCATAGTAATTGTGTGAGCTTGCATTTAAACCCAGGTTATATAAGAGTCCAAACTATTGACTCTGCTTTACTGACTTTCTCTAAAGTGTGTGTGTGGGGGAAAGTATCTTCAAAAAGTTTGTGGAGAATGCAAGTTATAAAAAGGTACATTCCCTAAAGTATGAGAGGTTTTCAAAGAAGTTACTGGAAATGCAAATTAAAAGTATGGATGAATTTCAAAGTATTTTGCATAAAAATAAAACCATACTTTAATTAGACTCTCCATGAACTTTTGGAAGTCTCCCTCTTAACTGTCATGCTTGTTTTACTGTTAGTTCCATATCACTGGCCAAATCCCTAGTTCAGTGTACCTGGACAGGCGGAGGAGAAGTACCTTTGAGTCCAATTTGACTTTATCCATTTCTTTCAACTTTATAGTTTTTAGAGGTGAATGTAACATCAAGTTTTATTTTGCAGCTTTAAAAATGAACATCTTAGACTTCCTCAGTTTAATGAAGAGTAACATTGAGTGTGTTTGAGTCTCAGTTTGGACCAAGAATAGCTCTACTTTATCCATGAATCATGTCTAGTAATGTATACTCCTTTGACCGTCATTCTAACAACCCAGCAGTCAAAGTGAAGATCTAATCTTACTTCTGAAGGAATGATTTTTTTTTTTCAAGAGAGATTTTTGCTACAGGGAGCGTGCACTCTCCAGAGAGACAGAGACAGAGAGACAGAAAGTGAGAAATCACCCTCTATGGGAGATGCCTTGCTACAATCCCTGCTCCTCTATTTTTCTCTCAGAATTTGGAGCACATGTGCACATGCGCCCAGCATGAGTTTTAATCTACCAGATCTAGGACTTGAACAATGGTCAATTCTGTGGGAGTCCAGTGACATAACCATTATGCCATCTGCTGGCCCCTAAAGGGGTGATTTTAATGTTAGGTATAGATTTCTTTCAGAGTTAGGTATGAAATCTAGGAAAAATACAATAAAAATAACTCTGGATCACCTTGATTCTTCTCTCTGCCTGTCAACACCTGCAGTTGTAAAACAAATAAGTAAACTATTCCCTGTCTACCTCCAGAAACTTCAAAGAGTAGCCCAGACCTTTGTGATAGGTGGCCCTAGAATTGGCCTGGGGTTTTACTGATGCATCAAGCAAAAACACCCTTGTCCCTCTCTTTTCCTCTTCTAGATTGTTGAAACCCATGCCCAATAACCCTTTTATCACATGTCAACCTCCTAGGTATGACACTAATTCTGAAAATATTCTCTCTAAGGAAATATCTCTTGGGATTTTTTTGAGTAAAATTATCTGCCATGTTTTACTGGGATGGGGTAGTCTCGGATTCTATGGGACTCAAACTCAGGTCTGTGAGAGCTCAGGAAAGATGGTTATGAGACGGAACATTTCAGCTGAGACTTGCAGGATGAAGAAAAGAATTTGCCAGATGTGACCAACAGATGGTATAATGGTTATGTTGCTGGACTCCCACGTAGTTAACTGTGGTTCAAGTCTTGGACCCGTTGGCTTAAAATTCACACCAGGGACGTATGCATGTGTGCTCAAAATCCCAAGAGGAGAACGGAGGAGAAGAGATTGTGGCATGGCCACCCATCCTTGGGAGGTGATTTCTCACTTTCTGTCCCTCTGTCTCTCCAGCGAGTGCATGCATACGATAGCAAAAAAAAAAAAAAAACCAAAAAAACACAAAAAAACCCAAAAAAAAAAAAAACAAACAAACAAACAAACAAACAAAAACCAAAAAAAAAACAACTCTTTCTAACAAAAAAAGAGTTTGCCAGATAGCCCAAAGGTCAGGGAGTAGGAGTTAGTATAGAAGGAACACATAGTTTGGAAAAGCACTTTCTCTATTCAAAACCCTGATATTTAAACCCCAGAGAAGAAAATTGGGTTTAGCCTCATTAACCCAAAGCATTCTTTTTGTAAAAGTTTGTCATGTAAAAGTTTTTTTTTCTTTTCTTTTTTCCTTTCCTTTTCTTTTCTTTTTTTTTTTTAGAATCATAGGGCAAGAAGAAACTATGAGGAATATTTTAAGGCAACAATCTGTTTGTAGGTTGTATACCTACTTGAAAAGGTATGAATAACATGTAGACTACTTAAAATGATAGAAATCTCCATTTTCATATCTCTTTCAACTGGATATGTTGTTGATAGTACTTTTCAGCTCATTCATGTTTCTGACGGTGACTATTTGGTTGGTCTATTGTCCAGTTTTTTTTAAAGTTTTTTTTATTTTCCCTTCTTTTCTGTTACTTAACTGTGGACTACTCAATCATCAGTTAGGACTTCTAACAGAGAAAGGGAAGACTCAGTTTCACTCTTTACTTAACTGCTTTATTAAGTGTTTTGATGAGAAAGGGGGTGAAATTCATTGAACCACTGGCTCATGTGAGGCTTTTTAAATCTCTGGATTTCCTTAATAACTCTACTTTGTTGCCAGAGGTATCCAGTATTCTATATCTTATTACTATATTAGTTAAAAAAAGAAAAGAAAAGAAGTCATTTCCTTTGATACTTCTCTGAGGGTGAGCCAGAAATAACTTTTTAATAATTTCAGTTTTTCTTTTCAAATTCATAGAATTTGACCCTCTCATTTTCTTGGAATTTACATTTAGAAGGCAGGCGGATGTAACCCTGGGTTCTTTGTTAAAAACACCGTTATTTTGGGAACCAGCAGTTAGCGTAATGGCTATGTCGCTGGACTCCCACATAGTCGACCGCGGTT